CGCGGCAGCAGATACACCGACACAAACAATACAGTAGTGTAACACAGTATACGCAGCAGATGGAGTTACTGTTCAACCGCATTACCGACCTGACCGAAGGCGAAAAAATCCAGGCGTACACAGAAGGGTTAAAAATGGAGATTCGGCGGCAGGTGATTGCGGCGAATTACGACAGCTACAGAGACATCGTGCGTGCTGCCGAACGATATGACGCGCTGACTCGAGGTCAACCCGAAACACGACGCTTCACGTCGAACCGTACATTCGGCACGGAGCGATCGGCACCCCCCACGTTCGCCGAACCGATGGATATCGACAAGTTTGACGCGAAGCAGCAGACGACAAAATGTGAATTTTGCGGCGCAGCAGGGCATCAAATCTTGTCGTGCTACAAAATGAAGAAAGCACGTGCGGCACTACGGGACGGTAACAGTGAAGCACCCCCGAAGTAAAAAAACGGGAATCGCCAGTAGCCGCGGATCGACCTGGCGATCGCGTAAAGATCCGAAAAGCAGGGAAAGGCGACGACGTGGCGACTTCGGAGCGGGTGAAAAAAGGAGAAAATGATGGCGCGAATATAAAACGTCACGACCGGCCGGCATCAGGGGAAATCGCCGAGGCGAATGGTGGCTCCGCGAAAAAAGACTCTGCAGCGACCGGGAAACTCCAGCCGAACACCCACGAAAGTAAGAATTCGTTAAAAGTATCCTATAAAGATACTCTAACGAAAAATATTGCTTCTCGTGGTTTTCAAGCCTTTGAAAAATTCAAGGGAGAATTAGAGGCCAAGAAAAAGACTTTAGAGATTATTCAGGTACCTGAGAAGTTGGGCAAATCATTACGGAGCGTAGAAAAGGGTCGTGCGTTCTGTGGAGTTAATCTTCTCTCCCCGCAGCACAATGTTAAGGCTCCCCGTTGCCCACAGGTGAAGCCTACACAGCTGCAAAGGCTTAGAGAAAAATTCCAGGCTCAGGAGAAGCGATACAAGCCTTGGAAAAATCCTCCTACCCCCCAGGTGAAGTTAGAAAGTGCTGAGTCGGGTATAGGAAAAAGGGAAGGTATTCATTTTACTGTACCCTATGATCCTATTAATGAGACCCTCTTTGGCTACTCAGCGCAGCAGAAACCACTACTCCTCGAGTTGTTATGCAATGGGCGACGCCTCCAGGCACTGGTGGACAGCGGTGCATCTCACTCGGTGAGTGACCGCAGAGCATTGGAGAAAATTGGAGAGAAGGCGGAGGAGACCCAGTTTTCAGCAACCATGGTGGACGGTACGAAGCTTCCTATCCACGGCGAAGCATCACTGCAGCTGCATATCGGCGCGTTAGGGTGGAAACCGAAGCTGCCAGTCACCAACATCAAAGGGTTTGATTTTATCTTGGGGCGAGATTTTCTGAAGCGGTTCAACCCCGAGATCGATTGGGTCAACAGCAAGGTGTGCATCTACAACAACGGGAAGCGGATAGCACTACGAAGCTGGACGGATACAGGGGACGTACCTGAAACAACACTGGCACGGTTCGAGCAGACGGTGAACGAGAGTAACACGGGTTACCTAGCACTGGTTGTGGCAGCAGCAGAGGAGGAGAAGCCGAGTTCCGAGCTACCTACAACAGTGAGGGAGGTCTTGGAGCAGTACAAGGAGATCATGCCCGACGACCTACCTGCAGACGTACCCTCTGCACGCACCCACGAGCACGAGATCGTGGAGGAAACAGGTGCGAAACCCGTCTCACGTGCACCATACCGACTGAGTCCGACCGAACTGACAGACATGAAGAAACAGATCGAGTATCTACTGGACAGACAACTGATCCGACCCTCCACCTCTCCCTACGGCGCACCAGTTCTCTTCACTCCAAAACCAGACGGCAGTTTACGGATGTGCATTGACTACCGCGCACTGAACAAACAGACAGTAAAAAACAAATATCTCATACCGCGCATCGACGACTTACTGGACCAACTGCGTGGTGCAACAGTATTCTCGAAGCTAGACCTACGGTCGGGTTACTGACAGATCAAGATGGCAGACAACTCGATCCACAAGACGGCGTTCCGTACTCGATACGGCTCCTACGAATATTTGGTGATGCCGTTCGGACTCTGCAACGCACCAGCAACGTTTCAGGCGGAGATGAATCATATCCTTCGACCCCTGCTAGACGAGTGCGTAGTGATGTACCTGGACGATATACTCATCTACTCGAAGAACATGAAGGAGCACGTGGAGCATTTGCGGAAGGTGTTCGAGATCCTGCGGAAGAACAAGTTCTACGTGAAGCTGTCAAAGAGCGACTTCGCCCTGAAAAAGGTGCAGTTCCTCGGGCACATGGTGAGTGCCGAGGGTGTACACGTGGACCCGCGGAAGATCGAAGCCGTCAAAGAGTGGAAAAATCCGGAAAACGTGAAGGAGTTGCAGCAGTTCCTAGGCTTCGCCAACTACTACAACAGGTTCGTGCCACAGTACGCTAAGATTGCAGCGCCACTGACTGACCTCCTGAAAAAGAATACACCCTTCAAATGGGATACTCCTCATCAGCAAGCCATGGAGCAGCTACAGACCGCACTGATCACAGCCCCAGTACTCATCCTACCAGACCCCGAAAAAGACTACGTAGTTGAAGCTGACGCTAGTGACCAGGCAGTCGGAGCAGTACTGATGCAGGATCACGGGAACGGGTTACAGCCTATCGCCTACCTCAGTAAGAAACTGCACGGAGCAGAACTGAACTACCCCATTCACGACAAGGAAGCCTTAGCTATAGTCGTAGCCTTCAAGGCATGGAGGTGCTATCTCGAAGGAGCCAAGACTATAGTCTATACTGACCACTGCAGTCTCAAATACCTGAAGTCACAGCCTACACTCTCACGACGACAGGTGCGGTGGATGGACTTCTTGGAGACCCACTTTCACTACGACATCATCTACAAACCCGGGCTACACAACAAAGCAGACGTATTGAGCCGCCCAGGACATGTAGCAGGCATCCAGCTCGACGGGATGAACCCTCTGCTCAAGGGTCTATTCCAACATGGGTACTCCGTGGACGGCGAGATTGCAATGGCAGAGAAACAGAAGCTGTTACAGTGGGAGAAAGACCTAGCAGTAAGGAAGGGTTCAGGAAAGATTTGGGTTCCTGATTACACCCCGCTACGGCAAATCCTCTTGGAGGAGTTTCACGACATACCATACGCGGGACATTTCGGGAGCAACAAGACGTTAGCGGGCATAGCAAAATATTACTACTGGCCCGGGATGGCAGCGGACGTGCAGCAGTTCGTCACCTCTTGCGACACGTGCCAGCGGATGAAGAGCAGCAAGCAGAAGAAAGCAGGGTTACTCCAGCCTCTACCTGTACCGGAGCAACCATGGCAGGTCGTTAGCCTCGACTTCATCACAGGACTTCCTTCGACCTCACGGGGACATGATTCCATCCTCGTAGTCATCGATAAGTTCTCCAAAATGGGTCACTTCATACCGACCAACGCCACAGCTACAGCTGAAGCAACTGCTCGCCTCTTCTTCGACCGCATCATCACCATCCACGGCATCCCCGCTACACTCGTCTCAGACAGAGACCCCAAATTCATGAGTAAGTTCTGGAGGGAACTCATGGGATTATTGAGGACTAAACTGGCGATGTCCTCAGCATACCACCCACAAACTGACGGACAAACAGAGCGACTCAATCAAGTGGTTGAACAGTTACTGCGCACAGCTTGCAAGGACGACGTCAGCCACTGGGACACAGAGTTACCGACCCTAGAGTTCGCTTACAACAACGCGTCACATGCGGTCACAGGGAAAACTCCTTTCTTCCTGTGTTACGGACGGGAACCACTCACACCGCAGCAGCCAACCACACCGGCACATGTCCAAGCCGCACACGACTTCGTCACCATCATGCAGCAACTATGGGAGAAGACTCAGCGACGTCTCACCACGATGCAGAACTCCCAGAAGCAGTATGCCGATCGTCAGCGACGAGATCACTCAGTAGCAGTCGGAGATCAGGTACTTCTTGACATACGCAACTTGAACCTGTCTCACCTCCCATCCAAACTCCGGCCTCGCTTCTGTGGTCCTTTTCTCGTTGAGACACAGGTGACACCAGTTACATTCTGCTTGCGCTTACCAGATGCATGGAAGCTTCACAACGCTTTCCATGTTCAGCTATTGAAGCCCTACAAGGACCCCAACCAACAGTTCCAGGGACGGCAGCTACCGCCACCTCCTCCTGTTCCCATCCACAATGAATCTGAATATGAAGTGGAGCGCGTTTCTTCTCATCGACGCCGCGGCGGCAAGACCCTCGAGTTCCTGATACGCTGGAAGGGATACGACCCCACTGAGGACAGTTGGGTTGCAGAAGCTGATATGGGCAACGCACGCCGTGCTCTCAAGGACTATCTTGTCAAGCCGGGTGTTTCTCACGCCACCCAGCTTTGAGGGGGGGACGTGTGAGAGTACGACGGCTTATGCTGGTTTTGCTAGCTTGCCTTTACTTTATTATGCTATTTCTAGCATAGGATAATTATATGCATGCATGAATTGCTTGATCTCCTAGGCTAGGTGCTTTCCTATATTTTATTATAGTTATAGCACCGAGCTAGGTTGCGTGCACCGAATTCTGGCTTTTCGGTTGCCACCGAATTGCCTTCTACCGAATTCGGGAAGGGTCTGTTCGGGACACTTCGCGACCCGCGGAACCTTCGCGTAACACCTGGTTACGGGGCCTTGTGTCGAGCCTATATATAGCCTCGTGTTGTACCCAGGTGATCATTCAATTCACATTCTCTTTTCTGAGCTCGATCCTAGATCCTCACACCCTACCTCCCCTTCAGAACCCCTCACCACCCACCCACTGCACTCCCCATCCTACCATGCCCCTCACCGCGCACACCGCCTCTCACTATGCATCTCACCATGCCTCTCACCATGCCTCTCTCACCTCGCACTACCTCTCACTATCCCCCTCACCATCCCTCTCACCATGCCTCCCACCATGCCTCTCACCATGCCTCTCACCATGCCTCTCACCATGCCTCTCACCATGCCTCTCACCATGCCTCTCACCATGTCTCTCACCCTACACTGCCACTCACCACACACTGCACCTGCAGGGGCGGATAGGGAAGCGCTAGAAATGGCAGCGCTGGCAGAGCTGCAAGTGCTTCTGCCTGGAGTGGACACGTGCGCGCAACTCATTGGCCCTGCCATTCCAGCACACATGTGAGGGCCTTTGGACGCCTTGTGGAGAGTGATTTGCATGCTTCACGCTTCGAGCGCCAGTGCTGCCTGCAATCCGCAAGTGCCTTCACCTCCTTGTCCCAGGCTTTTGCCGGCCACGTGTAGGACCTAACTCTGGGCCTCAACAGAGTGACGATTCAGGGAATTCAGGGCGCCTTGCCTTGAGGTGAGGGGTGCCTTGAGGGTAGTGCCTTGAGGGGAGTGCCTTGAGGGGAGTGCCTTGAGGGGAGTGCCTTGAGGGGAGTGCCTTGAGGGGAGTGCCTTGAGGGGAGTGCCTTGAGTGGAGTGTCTTGAGGGGAGTGCCTTGAGTGGAGTGTCTTGAGGGGAGTGCCTTGAGGGGAATGCATTGAGGGGAGACACGTGCTGGATGTGTGACAGGCCTTTCCTCTCGCTCCATCCACTCCCCAGTCACTGCAGTCTCACTCCCTAGTCCATGCACCTGTATGCCCTGCATGCTTGCTCCATGCTCTCCATCCCCTTGCCTCAACTCCTCATCCCCGCTGCATTTGCACCGCACCTCCTCTGCAGGCATGGCAAGCAAAGTTTCCTTCAGCATCCCCCAGTCCTTGAGCCCTGCGAGCCACAACCTTTCGAGCCACAACCTGCCGAGCCACAATCTGCCGAGCCACAACCTGCCAAACCACAACCTTTCGAGCCACAACCTGCCGAGCCACAACCTGTCGAGCCACAACCTTTCGAGCCACAACCTGTCGAGCCACAACCTGCCGAGCCACAACCTGCCGAAACACAACCTTTCGAGCCACAACCTGCCGAGCCACGACCTGCCGAGCCACAACCTGCCGAGCCACAACCTGTCGAACCACAACCTTTCAAGCCACAACCTGCCGAGCCACAACCTGTCGAGCCACAACCTGCCGAGCCACAACCTGCCGAGCCACAACCTGCCGAGCCACAACCTGCCGAACCACAACCTGCCGAACCACAACCTGCCGAGCCACAACCTGCCGAACCACAACCTGCCGAACCACAACATGTCGAGCCACAACCTGCCGAACCACAACCTGTCGAGCCACAACCTGCCGAATCACAATTACCAGGAGCAGCAGGCAGTGCAATGCAGCAGGCGGTGCAGCAGGCAGTGCAGCAGGCAGTGCAGCAGGCGGTGCAGCAGGCGGTGCAGCAGGCGGTGCAGCAACAGCAACCGCAGCAGGCGTGGCAGTCCACTTCCACTGAGGCCTCTACCACCACGTGCTGCCCTCCCTTGCCTGCTCGCCTCTTGCCACTCCACCCACCTCTATTGCAGTGTGCTCCTGCACCGCCTTGCACCCATCCACTCTCCACCCATCCTCTTTCTATCACAGCCACCAGCAGCCTTCCCATCCCCACCACTCATCCCATGCACAGCACCCGTCTTGCCTCCTGGCGAGACACGCTGGTGAGTGCAAGCATAAAAGGGAGGGGTGTGGCTTGATGGGTGGGTGGGATACACGTTAATTTGTGAAATGAGGACAAGGGGGTGAGGCGGGCGCGTGCATCGAGTGTCACCACCACCGTGCGTAGCCAACCCCGCGCCCTTTCTGCAAGTGAACAACAAACAATCAGATGAAACAACTTCTGAATCGACTCAAACTGGACAACACACATTCCGACGAGTTAAGTGGTGCCTGCTGCACCACCCGCTCCCTCCTTTACCCCCCACTCATCACACCATCCTGCTGCCGCGTCCCTCTGCCTCCCACCAGGTCCCCATGCTGCGGCATGCGATGCACATTACTGGTCACGTCACGCACGGACTACAGCCACGAGGCAGCACTGCTTGCCGGGGGGGCAGTAGAGGCGGCTCAGGCAGTCCTCACATCACCATGCTGCCCCATGCCTATTGCCCCACCAGGCCCTCATGCTGCGCCAGAAGCTCCCAGCGCTCATCAGAAACTACAGCCACGAGGCAGCAGGGAGGGCTTCTTGCTAGACCCTCATGCCTTGCCTCATACCCTCGAGCTGCATCACATTCTCCTCTGCACTGCACCACCTCATGCTGTCCCCCCACCTCAGCCAGTCCTCATGGCATCGTACTGCCCATCCCCCATCTCCTGCCCTCGGACTACAGCCTCGAGGCAGCAGAGATGGCCAGGGAGGCGCTCTGCTCGCTGGCTGCTGACGTGCAACGAGGTGGAGAAGGAGGCGGGGTGGAAGCTGAGGGCAAGGGAGGGGCTGCAGCAGCCACGGTGGTGCAACCTGTCATCAGCGAGGTAGGGGCGGGTGCAAAGGGGCTGTGATGGAGGGGGGCACAGAGGGCTGCAGCGGCCATGGTGGTGCAACCTGTCATGAGCGAGGTAGGAGCTGCTGTTAGCTGCTGCGAGGTCACGGGTGTCAAGAAGAATGCTGTTAGGAACCAAAGTGATGAAACATTGGACGAGTAGTTGCTCATTGGATTCGAACAGGAAGGGGTGCACATGGTTGTGAAAAGGGAGGGTGAGCTGGCTGGGTTGTGAACACTGAAAACGAGAATCTGGCCAACATTATTGGTCCCCTCCACTATGTTGGGTTGAGAAATCCTTGGGGTTCCCAGTAACTTTTGGTCAATGGTGGGCCAAGATGGTGGGGGGGGCGATAATCTCTCAAACCCTTTGGGGACCATATAATCGGGCCAAGGTTGGATTTCCAATCTCAACTAGGGTTACTCCTAGTTGTGCGGCCCCCAACCCCTATCGAATCCATATAGGATATGTGCATGATACAAGAGGACCGAAGGTGTCCTAAACAGAATGCAAACAGCCAATCCATGCTTCACGTCATCGGTCCCTTGCCATGTTAGATGGCACTTACCGTTTTTGTGAGTCACGTAAACGTAAACTCAATCATGAGTTTACCTTTACGTCTTCTTACTCGTAGGTTTACGTAAAATCGCACAGGCAGGGCAAAAAGGGGAAAAGGCTACGCGAAAAGGGAGCTATATGACTTACATGAGGTGGGAGAGGCTGTGACATGTCTGTCTACGTGCGGAGCATCTATAAGGTGATGTAAGTAAGTGCCAACTTGCCTGGGCATAGACAAGCCATGCTACTGAATTCGTTAAGCGCTTCCCATCAGACCGCTTAGTCCTCTGAATTTATTTCTTTCTGGGAAGCCAGAAATCTTTCTGACAGATTGTAAACGTTAAGTCATTGTAAGTCCACGTACGTAAACGTATGTTTACTGCGTAAAGTCATGTACACGTAAACCCGTGTAAACGTGAAGTGCCAACTTGCCATGCCTCTCACTCCTCACCAATTCTCTCATTTTCCATCCGTACTCTTCTGCCCTCTCACCACCACCACGCCTTACTACTGCTCTCACCATCCCCTCTGTTGCCCCTCCCGATCCCTCTCAACCCCTCTGTTCCCTCAAACCACCCCTCTCCCCTCTCTCCACCTCCGCCCCATCCCAGGTGCATCTGAACCCCTTCCGCATGCCCTTCGCCCATCCCATGGCCAGCCTCGCCCTGCCCTCCCTGCCCAACTGCTTCTACTTCACTCTCACCTTCCGCGCTGCACCCACTAGCGTTGATGCGCATGCACGCTCCACATAGATGAGTGAATGAGAGCAGCTGCCATGTCTGGATTCATGCATGCTTAGTGCTGCCCTCCCTACCTATCTACCACAGTCACTGGTGCTGAGCTCATGCTCATGCATTCGGTGCTGTGATGAGTGCATGAGCAGCTGTCATGACTGGATTCATGCATGCCCAGTGCTGCCCTCGCTGCCCATCTGCCACTTCTTCACTCTCCCCGTCCCTGCTGTATGCACCAGCGCTGAGCTGATGCTCATGCATTCGCTGCAAACATGAGTGCAGGAGTCACTGCCATGAGTGCAGTCACGTCCTACTCTCTCACTTACCCCCCTGTGGTACTCCACTGAACTCTCTCCGTGTTCTCTCACCACCATCTGCTGTGGACTGGTGCGGAACATCTTACAGTATGCCACAATGTGGTAATACGGTATACTAAAGGAGTAGAGTAGTTGTTCCATACCAGCAAAGTTTCTCAAGTTTTACTTTCTGGTACCAAGGCTAAAAATCCAAACCGTATAAAGGCACGTCCAATACACATGATATGATGTGCCGAATGACCTTCACAATATTCCAGCAGGCCCTCAAACATCACGGCGCGCTGATGGATGAGCCCCGGTTTTATGGAGACTAGTGTGCGTATCCTGATAACACCATGAAAGGTGAACAGCTAAAAATATCTACAGTGATCAAGCCCTCTTTAATGCCTTCTGCAGCAGTTCTACTGCCTTCTCTCTCTCCCTGTCATTACCTGATAACAAAATCCCCTGCACAGGAGCCACACAACACGTTACAGAGTGTTGCTAAAGCAGTCTGCAAGAGCCGAACATGCTATACCATGTTACATGGTTCAAGTCAACATGCTTACCGGTTCAAAGGCTCCGGCCTTGAGTAGATTGTGCAGGCACATATCCAGGTGCCCTTTGAGTTCCTGAACTTGGTATTTGTCTGCTGCTGCCAAGAGATTCAATTCCTGTGCAGCCCCACAGACGGGAAGCAGCACAGTTGTCTTCTCCAGAATGCATTCAGGCAGGCACTGAGACACAAACCTGCTACCGTGATTCTCACCTTCTGGGTCACACTCTGTATGTGCAGCTCGCCTGTGTACATGAAAGTAAGCAGCTCATTCAGAGTTGAGCTGTCAACGTCCTTCATCTTAACATGCCGACTCTTTTCTTCTTGAAACCCGCTGCTGAACATTGTCGCGAAAACAGGGGACCTGCAGAGAATTCAACACTTGCAATCTGTTAGGTACCACTCAGAAAGAAGTAAAATCGTGACCAAGCAAGGGGAATGGGCACTAACCATGTGGCGAGCACGCAGCGATGAGCAGGTACTTTAACCCCATCGCTTGTCTCCAGAGTGACGTCACAAAAGGGCATATCCAGCATGCCTTTCGTCTTCATAGAGAACAAGGACCGCCTATTTGCTTGGTCCTTGAATTTTTGTAGCTCACTGATTTGGGTCTTTGTAAGGAATTTTCTCGGCATTCCTTACGCACAGCAACAGCCGTTGTTCGCCCGTTACGGCTAACGGGGCTTCGCCAACTTCGCGCGCACTGTTTTGCCAAACCTCGCACTGCTGGCATGTCCGTGTCGGCCTACGCTTCGGGACTAGCCCGAGCCTCGCGCCAGCGTAGCACTAGCTAGCTCGCACGCACCGCGTTACCGTTTGCATGTTTCGCGTATAAATGTTCGCTCATGCCTTCGCTCACATTTTGTACTCGTTTGACACTTTAGTGCAATCCTCGCTACCTCATTCCATTGCACCCGTAACACTTGGTATTCAGAGCCCCTTTCTTTCGGACCGCGCATCTCCGCATCCCAGGAAATCAACTTTTGATTTTTCACTCGAAGGGACTTACGTACCTTAGCACCTAGGAGCCGCTGTCCTCGCGTTCTCTCGTAAACGCGTGCAGCCACGACTGCGCCTAGACTAAGACGAGCCGACGCCCTTCGCCATGGCCGAGCACATCGACATCACCAGCCTCACGCAGGACCGTCTGAATGATTTGATGCGACAACTTCGCGAAAGCTCCGAAGAAATTGCGGCATTAACGGCAGAACACTCGTCTCTGCAAAACGATCTCACGCGAGCACAACAAGCACAATCTCAAGCACCTGGCACTCCGATTCAACCCGCACCCACAACATCACAGCACGGAAGTGTGGGGCAACCCGCGAGCGCGGCCAGTGATGGCGTCGTCCGCCCCGACGGAGACGACGACCACGGCACGACACACCCCGTAGCGACGCATGCGGCCCCAAGTCAGCCTCGCGTCACGATTTCGGCACCAACCCACGATTCGGGACTGCCATCACCGATGCCGTTGAAGCCGCAGCGCCCGCCATGCTTTGACCCGAGTCAACGGGGTGGTCCTACCGTCCAGGCGTGGTTGTTCACGATGAACGTGTTTTTCGACGCCAACTATGTCTCGGAGGACTCGGCGAAGATCCGATACGCCGTGTCGCTGCTGCGAGGACCCGCCATGGACTGGTGGCGCGTCATCGTCACGAAGCCGAACGACTACGCGACTCTACCGACACGGGAAGGACAAACCGGACCCTGGGCGCCGTCGTATTTCGTGGAGGTGCCCCAGTATCGCACGTGGGATGCGTGGTGCGCAGGTCTGCGCGCTCGATTTGAGCCAATTGCGGCTTCGATCGCGGCGCGTCAGAGGCTCCGCACTTGGCGCCAACTCGGTTCCGTCCAAGATTACACCAGCGGGTTTCTGGCGCTAGCGAGCGCATCGACCGCTACATCGGCGGCCTGAAGCAGGATATCACTCAGGAAATCCAGCTTCGCGGCGTCACCGAATTCCAGGAGATTATCGCTATGGCGGAGAAACTCGATTTCTTCCGCCGACCGAGACCGGGGTCCTACGGAAGCAGCAATTGGGGACATCGGCCTCGTGGGACGAACGAGGGCGCCACGATACGCGCCGTCGCCGCAAATGCCGCTGCCGCACCATTCAAAGGGCGCTGCTTTGCGTGCAATCGGCCGGGACATCGCAAGAGCGAATGCCCGGAAAACGCTAAGGGAAAGGGGGAAGCTGAGCAGCAGAAATAGACCAAGCAGCAGGGAAACGTTGGGAGTCAGTAGCAGATGGGCCCTCTACTGACAGGTCACGCCGCTCGCCCGACCCAACCGACCCTCACCAAGTGATTGTGCCGGTTCACGCAATCGACCACACCCGGCCGAATAAGGAGGGTACCACGGTAGACAGCCCTATACTGCTTAGTGGGAAAATTGGGACAGACTTAGTTAAAATCTTCGTAGACGGAGGAGCCAGCCACAGCCTCATCAACACTGCTACCGCACGAAAACTGCGACTGCCACTGGACAGATGTTTACCTGAGACCGACGCACGACTGGTAGACGGCACGCCGCTGGCAATACGGGAACGCGTAGACCGAGTTCGGATTCGCTGTGGGGGTAACTTCACGTTTAGCCAGGAAATGCTCGCAACGACCCTCGATGGAACCGACATTTTACTTGGGCGTGATTGGCTGCGACGACACAATCCACGAATCGACTGGACGACGGGTGACTGCACCGTGCGAGTAAACGGTAACAACATCGCCTTACCTCGCTGGGGCTTGCCTGAGCCTTCGTCGGTGCGTGAATGCAATCACGATGAAACACGCTGTAGCGGCCGGAGCTGATGTGTACGCGGTTGACATTCGGGAAGCCGAGGCAGCAGACAAGGGAGGGGATTTACAGAAACTG